TTATAATTTATATAAGTTAATTTTAATCAGATAAATTCTGTAGAAAGCAAAGATTAGGGGTAAATGAACGCTTTTTGAATTGGCTGGAAGTGACTATTGTGTGTTAGCAAGCCTCTTGCTTTTCCACTTAGGTAAATAACATTAGCTCACATTTCTTGAACACCTCAAATTTTCATCCTTGTCTTTAATTCCTCTTCATTGCTGAGCCATTCCCTGTATATTACTTCTTCCAACTTTACAACTCCCTGAAACTCTTCCTTTGTCTGACTCCACGAGAAGCATTACCTTCCTAAAGCCTGAAACCCTCACTTCCTCCCCCTCAACCTACTTTCCACATTTCCTCCCCAAGTCTTTCTATCTGGCCACCACTTTCTTCTCTTTTCAAAACCTACCTCCAACCAAGTAATTTCTTCAACTCTTTTAATTCTCTCTTTGGCTGAACACCATGGGACTTAGAGGTCAAGAATCATTGATGTCATATAAGGAGGCTATTTAGCCAAAAAAGTCCATATTAGCTTTCTGTAGAACAATATAGTTGGTTCTGTGCCCTTGCTGTAACCCAATCCACTTATAAGTTTATTTCCCTCAAAAGGCTTCCTAAGTTTAGATTTGTTGTAATTGCTAACATCTGGACAAAGGAACTGAGGGCATTATTGCTAAGTTTGCAGATGACACAAAGATAGTTGGATGGACAGGTAGTGTTGAGGAAATGGGGAAGGCTTCAGAAGGACTTGCATGGACTAGGAGATTTGGAGGAGAAGTGGCGGATAGAATACAATGTGGAAAAGTGTGAGGTATTGCAATTTGATATGAAGAGTACAGGCATGAAACATTTTCTAAATGGGGAAAGGCTTCACAAACTTGAGGCATCAAGGGAATTGGGGAGTCCTAGTTCAGGATTCTCTTAATGATAGCATGCAGGTTCAGTTGGCAATTAGGAAGGCAAATGCAATGTTAGTATTCATTTCAAGAGGGCCAGAACACATGAGCAGAGCTATACTGCTGATGCTGTAAGGTTCTGGTCTGACTGCAATTGGAATATTATGAGCTGTTTTGGGCCCTGTATATAAGGAAGGACGAGCTGGCATAGGAGGGGGTCCAGAGGAGGTCCACAAGAATGATCCTGGGCATGAAGAGTTTATCATATGATGAGAGGTTGTGGACTCTGGGTCTGTATATGATGGTGTTTAGAAGGATGATGAGGAATCTCATTGAAACTTTCAAAATACTGAGTGGCCTAGACAGACTTGACATGGAAAAGATGTTTTTCCTGGTAGGAGAGACTCTGACCCAAGGGAACAGTGTCAGTGTAAAGGAATGATTATTTAGAACTGAGATGAAGAGGAATTTCTTCAGCCCAAGGGTGGTGAATCTGTGGAACTTATTGCTGCAGAAGGCTGTGGATGCCAAGTCCTTGAATGTCTTTAGACAAAGATAGATAGGCTCTTGATTATTAGGGGATCAAAGATTACAAGGAGAAAGCAGGAGAATGGAGTTGAGAAAAATATCAGCCATGATTGAATGGAGGAGCAGACTCGATGGATCAAATGAACTATTTCTGTTCCCATATCTTATGGTCTTATGAGAGCAATGAAAGCGTGGAAGACTTATAACAGAAGCAGTTCAGTAAAAAGTGAATTACAGTTGACAGTAGATCAATCACCTCAAACATGAAACTCAAAATTTCCTCTCCACAGCTGCTACCTGCCTTGCTGAGTGTTTCCTATGTTTTGTGCAATATTTATTTCCTTAAAAATAAATAAAAGACATTGATGACTATTTTCTTTCCTATTTCACTTCTAGAATTCTACAGCACTTCAACACCAGCCCAGAAGAATATACTGTCATTTTTACATCAGGAAGTACAGCAGCTCTTAAACTTGTTGCAGAATGTTTTCAATGGACCCACATGGAGCCAGGAGGCACGAGTCAGTTTTGTTACCTGACTGACAATCATACATCCGTTGTTGGTATAAGAGGATTGTCTGCTTTAGCTGGTGCTCTAACTATTCCAGTCAACCACTCTGAAATTTATGAAGATAAACACAGTCTGAACAAGAACATTGCTCTGTGCAAGGAGGAAAATTGTCACACTCCGCATCTCTTCTGTTATCCTGCCCAAAGCAACTTTTCAGGGACAAAATACCCACTTACTTGGATAAGAGATATTAAATCAAGAAAGCTGTATCCATTTAGCAAAGTCTCAGGAAAATGGTATGTGTTGGTGGATGCAGCCTCGTTGGTGAGCACGTCGCCACTTGATCTCAGTGTACATCAAGCAGACTTCATCCCCATTTCATTTTATAAAATATTTGGATTTCCAACAGGTTTAGGAGCTCTGTTGGTGAATAATAAAAGTGGACATATGCTGAAAAAGAGATATTTTGGAGGAGGAACTGCAGACTTTTATTTGTCAGGGGAAGATTTCTATGTTCCTAAGCGGTCATTAAGTGACAGGTAAGGTGTTTCTCTTCCAGAATAAGTTTTCAGATATTATCTTTTACTTTGTGTGTTTGTCTATCGCTAGCTAAAATACATTCATATACTATAAAATATTCATTTTTTTCTACCAACCTGCTTTCGACTTTGATCTTGATTGAGTCACATGCAAGGGCAATATTGCAAAAGGATTTTTTTTTCATTCTCATACTTGTATTATGAGTAAAATATGTCTCCCAATTTTTCAGTCCCATAACGGATACTTTTGTATTAAACCAGGACAAATTCTGACTATTGCCAAATAGCATAAATCCAATTACTCAAAAAGTGCTGTTTACAGTATTTGTTTCAGTTAGGACTTGCTTTGTCTCTTGACATGTTGAGGTCATTGTCTGTTTCATGCATTAGATATGTGCCGGAAGTTTTTTTACTTTTAATACATCTTGTTATTTTAGAGTTTTAGGAATGTTTGTGTTCTGTTTGACGACCAATTAATTTGAATGTGTACTCTAAAGTACTTTCACTTGTATAGTTAGCCATGGCTCAGGAATATTCTCATCTGAGTCACGGTTCAAGTCTCACTTGAGGTCTTGAGCACAGCTATTGATTCTCCAGTAAAGTACTGAGGGAAGGCTATATTATCACAGGTGTTATCTTTTGGAATGAGCTGTTAAAGCAATATCCTATCTGCAATCTCAGGTTGATGTAATAGATCCATTGACATTATCTTGAAAAAGGACAAGGTGTTTCCTCAATGTCATGGCCAAAAGACCATAAGATTTTGGAGCTGAATTAGGCCATTCAGTCCATCGAGTCTGCTCCACCGTTTGATCATGACTGATAATTTTTCTAATATTTATCCCTGAATCAGCAACACTCCAGATTCTCTGGCCATGATCATGTTTCTGTTTGTGGGACCTTAAATTGAGCAAATTTGGGATACCTTGTGAAAGGTGCTATATAAATGCAAGGTTTTCTTTAAAATATTGCACGTGAATCACAAGGAGGCAATTTCATAAATGTGGGTTCCAGTGAAGAATCTCTCTATTGAGAACTGTCACGTCTGTGATGGGTGTAATGTGCTTTTAGTCAAGACCCACCACTCCACCAGTCACACTATTAGTCTAAGTTTGTTGATTCAGTTAGCAAAATGGCCAGTCTCACTCTTCCGTACGGCTACCCGGAAGAAAAGAAGCATTGACTGCCCTTCTTTAATGAACTCAAAATATCTAATAATTAGGAACAAAACCTATTCTTAAAGCAAGTAGCGATTAATGATTAACACCTAACCTGTGATATAGAAATAAAACTGCATCGCCTTAATCCCACACACACGCCTGCAACTCAAAAAGACAAGGCTCAGCAAAGATGATAGGTTTTATTTAAAAGAAAGGGGAAAAGAGGGAAACATTCTCACGGGCCACAGTCTGGAAACAAAAGGATAAAATGTAATAACTTATCATGTCTTTTGAAATTTCCTATTGCCACAACTGGGTTGTTGAAGTTTTAGGTTGATGATAAATAAAAACTGAAAGAACTGCAGATGCTGGAAATCAGAAACAAAACCAGAAATTGCTGGAAAAGCTCAGCAGGTCTGGCAGCATCTGTGGAGAGAAATCAAAGTTAACGTTTCAGGTCCAGTGACCCTTCCTCAGAACTGATGGTAGCTAGGAAAACGTTGGTTTTTATGCAGACAGTAAGGTGAGAGGAGACGGTAAGGAGTAAATGAAAGGTGGAAATAGACCCCAAACAGAGAAGGACAGTTGGACAAAGGAGAGGATAATGATCAGCCTTGGAGAATGTTTAGCTACTAATGGGAACTATTTGTGGCTAACAATGGGTTGTGTGTGATAGTAGACTATGGGATGACAAGGTCTAGTGTGTGGAGCTTGGGGTCAGGACAATGGGAGAAGGTGCTTCAGGCACTAAAAAAGTTGAACTCAACAATGAGTCCAGAAGGCTGTAGAGTTCCCAAGCGAAAAATGAGGTGCTGCCTCAAATGATAAATGTCAGTTCTGATTCTATTCAACTGGGACTTGTGTGGCTGACAATTGGTCAAGATCCACTATTCATGCTCCGCCAGGTAGGTAGAAATATTGGTATTTGGAAACTCTATTACATTTCCCAAGGACTTTGAAGAAACAGGAGCTTTTGGGGTATCCTCTCAACTCACTAACTTCTAGGTTTAAAAAAGAAGAATTCTAAGACCAGAGATGGTTGCTAGGCAGCCATTAGCATAAGACCTTAGTCTTGTCAAAACCAGTTTGTTTCTTCAGTAATTGTGGCAATAAATTTCTTATGCCTTGCTTTGTTTAGCTGCTTTTCCAAAGTCACTTGATTTCTAGCAAAACAGCAGGTAGCTTGCAGCATACATTAAACTTTTGACTTCTGTAATTAGCAGATCAGAGCCCATATACTGCTGAATACAATTCCAAGATATCACATGTCACTGCTCAATCCAGGCAAACATCCAAATAATTCCATCTCTTCCAGCTTCCTTCACAGTGTGCTTAAATACAAATATGTATTCTTAACAGAATGCATCAGACTGCCCATGATTTTCTCGTCATGTGCGACTGGAATCACCACCATCTGTCCCTGCCAGTACTATAGACCCTGCAGATGATTATTGCTTGTTAAATTCTTGTTGACAGCCCAACTCACCTTGTTAATATTCACCTTTCTGTCTAAGTAAACTTTCCAAAGCTAGATGTCAAGAAAAATCAACATGAAAACTGAATAAAAACTGAAAGAACTGCGGACGCTGTAAGTCAGAAACAAAAATAGAAATTGCTGGAAAAGCTCAGCAGATCTAGCAGCATGTGTGGAGAAAAATCAGAGTTAACGTTTCGGGTCAAGTGACCCTTCCTCAGAATAGGCCTGAGCAAGGGTCACTCGACCTAAAACGTTAACTCTGATTTCTCTCCACAGATGCTGCCAGAACTTCTGAGCTTTTGCAGCAATTTTTATTTTTGTGACATGGAAACTGAAGTGGGTATCAGCAAAACTTGCTCAGAAGGATTTCCATGGTATGTACTAAGCAGTAACACCTCAGGACATGCACTATGGGAACCACCACATGCATCCCACGTCCACAAGCATTGATGTCCAACATGTGCCAGCCTCTAAGAGCACTTCTAAACTTCAGTGCTGCATCTCGGGCTGTACCAGCGACTATCATTGTAATACTACAGCAAGGACACTGTGTGCTCAGCGACATGCACCCAGCTCATGCACTGGACCAGCATGCCTCTGATGGTTGGGAAGTTTTTAGAAGACAGCATAGGAGACCAAGAAATTGATAAGAAAGGGAAGAATAAAATATGAATGCAATCTAGCAAAAAAGATAAAAATAGACTCTGAAAACTTCTGTGGTATATAAAAAGAACCATTTGTCTAAGACGAATGTGGACCCTCAGAATCAGGAGAACATGTAATGTGTCTGTTTTCACTGAGGAAGATATAAGAAACCTCCCTGAATTGTAGGTCTGAGTGACTTGAGAGAACAAGGGTTTGAAGGAAATCTGTATCGGTAAACAGGTTGCACTAGAGAAATCAACAAGTCCAAAAGTTTTTCAGTCCCTGGGACCTGATAGTCTATAACTCAAAGTGTTGAGGAAGGTCCCTATAGAAATAGTCGACGAATTAGTAGTCATCTTCCCAAGTGCCATAGGTTCTAGAATGATTCCTACAGTTGGAAACATGCAGATGTCACCCCACTATTTATGAAAGGAGCAAAGGAAAACAACAGGGTTAACAGACCCGTTAACCTTACATCAGTTGCAGGGCAAAAGCTAAAACACCATAACATTCTCTCCACCACTTCCATTAAGTCTGTATACTGGGAAGTTTTGTGGACAGCCTTTCAGTCCTGCTGCTAATAAAGGGTCAATCAGTCTTTGTGTTTGCATGTTTGTGGTAGGGAGAATCACAATGTTGGGAATGTGACAAGTGAGCAAACACAGGGCTGCTGGTGGATGCCTCATTCAAAGGCAGTCAGTGCATGATTAAGGGGCCTGGCACCACAAAGGGGAGGAAACCTATTGTGGGCAAACTTGTAAAAGTCAACAAAGCCCAAATGAGCAATTAGTGACAACAAGGTGTAGAGCTGGATGAACACAGCAGGCCAAGGTGAAAACAAGTTAACGTTTCGGATCCGGTGACCCTTCCTCACCGGACCCAAAACGTTAACTCTGTTTTCTCTTCCACAGATGCTGCCAGACCTGCTGAGCTTCTCCAGCAACGTTGCGTTTGTTCCTGATTTACAGCAACCGCAGTTCTTTCGGTTTTTATTTAATATGGAAGAAAACGTGGGTGGAGAGGGTGATAAGTACATTTGCAGATGATGCAAAGATTGGCTAGGTGGTTGACAGTGAGGAAGGCTTAGATTACAAGAGAATATAGATTAATTGGTCAGAAGGGCAGATTGGTAGTAAATGGAATTTATCCCTGAAAAATGTGAGGTGATGAACTTTGAAAGAAGTAATAAGACAAAGCAGTAGTCAATGGATGGTGAGAAACTCAGAGGAATGGAGTGATCTTGGGATGCTTGTTCACAGATCCTTGAAGGTGACAGGATATGTTAATACGGTAATTAAGATGATGTACAGGACACTTACCTTTATCAGTCATGGCATATAGGAGCAGGGAAGTTATGCTGGAGCTGTAAAAACATTGGTTAGGCCACAGCTGGAGTGCTACAGTGTGTAGGTTTTGATTGCCACACAATCGGAAGGATGTGATTGCACCGGAGGGAATGCAGAGGAGATTCACCAGGCTGTTGCCTGTGATAGGGCATTTTAGCAATGAAGAGAGGCTGAATAAACTCAGGTTGTATTCTTTAGAGCAGAAAAGGTGGAGAAGGAACCTGATTGATGTTTAAAATATTGAGGGGGACATGCACAAGGTGGATAGAAAGCAGCTGTTCCTTTCTTTTTGAAGGGTCAGTAATAAAAGGGCCATAGTTTTAAAGGTGAAAGGCAGGAGCTTTAGAGGGGCTGTGAGGTAATTTTTTTCACCCAGAGGATGGTGGGTATCTGGAAGACACTGCCTAGAAAAGTAGTCAAGGCAGGAAACCTTCACTTTTAGGCTGTGGGCCAAGTGCTGGATAGTGGGTCTCGTGTAGATTTAGAATATTTTTGTTGATGTAGAATCGATGGACCGAAGGGCCTCTTCTGTACTCTATGGTTTATAGCTTTATGTTTTGTGTCAATTTTCTGCAGTAAATTGCAATCATAAGAACTGATCTGATAATTTATTCAGGATCCTGGCTGATTCATCTTTTCCTGTATGCACTGCCTCATGGTTTTGTTCTCTTGTTATTTACCAGTTTCATTTTATCCACAGGAACATTTTCTATTTTCTTGAAGTGTTGCATTAAGAGTGTTTGATGTGTCATGACTTTCAGAGACAACAGTAATAAGGCAACTTCCAAGGACACAAACCCTCATGCTGTCACTGATCGGGAGGGTAAACTGTGTGATTAATTAATTAATAACCATTAGCTATTAAGATGCCATTTAAATATTCAGTTGCCTGGATGACAAAAATGTCAGTTAATCATCAGTACAGCAAGGGCACAAATTCATTTTTTTCTCATTCTTGAACCAGCCAGTATTGACAAGAAAAAATAATCAAGTCACTGGACTAATTTCTTAAAGTTATTTACACCATCATTTTCCATGGTGCTAAATTGGCCAAACTGCTGGCTACATAAGATACAAAAAAATTAAAGCATTGAAGAAGTTGGGCTGAATTTTCTTTTGCAAACAACACTTGAAAATAATTTGGACACCACCGGTGTGGCAAAGGATGACAAAATCAGTTGGTTATGCCATCTTCTCTCCCATATCCCAGACAACTTCTTATTAACATTTCACCACGTTTTCTCCTTATCACTGTTGCCAATCCCAGAGATCAACGTGCAAAAGTGGCAACAGGTGCTGGAAAATGGTGCTTAAAGTTGATCATTAAATAAAGACTAACAGCAATTGAGTTTTATAAATAAGGATATAGAATTCAACAGTAAAGAGTTAAACAGACATTCATATTAAATATTGGTTACTCGTCAGTTGGAGTGCTGTGCACAATTTGAAGATTCACTTTGTAAAAAGTGTATTAAAACTGCAAAAAATACCCAACATTGACTAACAAATAATGTCAATGATGCAAGTTTGTAGTTAGGAATGATGTGAGATTCTAACATTGCTTCCTGTGGAGCAGAGGGCTAATTGAATTCTTAATGTAGCTTTTTCCATGTTGTTAAATGTTTCAATGCAGTGACAGGGAGAGGTTGTTTTGGCTGTCACAAAAATTCTCCTGCCCAGATGATTACCGACAGACTTATCTTTTTAAGAGCTCAGACTTGATTGAGGACTAAACATTTCCTATCTGGGGCTCTTTTATCTTTCACTATCAACTTTGAAGCGTGTAATGGCATCTTCTGGTCCTACGTCAGCAGACCACCTCAACATCACCAGAAGTCTCTTCTGCACTAGTGGGCTCCTTTTCAGTGTTGATGATGCTGGTGGTGTCCTGTATTAGTGTGAAACCTGTAGGAGCAAAGGTTGAGTAGGCAGGCAGGATTCAGGCATGTAGCAGTCTTTATCCTTATTTAAGCAATCACCGGTTTATGCAGGGAGAGAGGCAAAGATCTTCACCTCAATCTGGCCTCAATGTGAGAATGCAGTTGTTCCCTTAATCTTTGGCTCATAATCGGAAGAAACATGACACTCTGATTTTCACAGTGAGATACAACATTTTTATACATTTTATGTTACAATAATCACATAACAACATGGTCACTGGGTCCTTCCTCTTATTCTATACATCCAATCCCATGGACAGCCCTAGGTTCCCATGATCTCATGGTATTTAACAGACATTGTAATCTCCAGGCCCTGTGATCTTACTATGCATACAATTAATTTGCACTCCAAAGTCACTAGTTATATTCCTTCAGACATGTCCCAGACTTGCTTATCTCTAAGGCCTGCTTGGATTCTGTTGCCCCTTGTATTCCTTTGCTATCTCTATCAAATTCTGTTACACCTCTTATATTTTCCCACTGTCCTAACTCTATGTAAAGAATACTAAAGACAGGTGGTTCTAACTAACTGCTGTAAGATTTGTAATATTAATTCTATTATAAAGTTAGTTATATGTGAAGTTTTACAGCTACTTCTACTGTAAGCACTCTTTAGCTAATGAATTGGAAGCATTTTGTTTTGCACAGGACATACCAGGCATCCTTTTAGTGATAAAGAAAATGTTTCCTGAGACTAATTAGCTTTCACATCTATGTTTGTTGGATTTCCCGTAATGCTTCTATTATATTTTGGTTATATATGTGTATCCATAATTATGTTGAAATCTTTCTCTGTGATTATCTGAAGAATCTTTAACGAGAACCTATTTCTTAATATTATGAATAACTTCAAAGAAACAACTGATTACTACAAAATAATTTTAGCTATTGTTTTCACAACTGCATGATTAGTTAGGCTGACTATCTTATGGGCTGAGATTTACATCGCTTGTTCTAACTGATACTGTTTACCTAATGGGACAATATCCTTTTATTAATGAGGCTGGAATGAATCACTTGTCGTAGTTTAATGAACTTGTGTTCATCATTAGACATCCTCATGTCGAACTGTCTCTGATGGCTGTTCGTGCAGGATGGTTGTTTGGCCTTGGAGTAAACCCTGTTCAAAGGTACCATTGTGTTTCACATAAATGCTAGAGCAGGTATTTAATTCTGTTATAATTACTTATCTGCCATTTTGTGCCTAAATGCTGGAACAGGCTTTTTAATTCTGTTTATCCCTTGTTGGCCATTTTGTATCTTTCAAATATGGGCAGCCCTTACAAAACCAAAAATATCTGCATTTATCTTGTCATCTGAATTATACAGACTAGTCTTGAAATATTATTAGCTTCCAGATTGTAATATTTTTAAAAAAAATGTTCACACGATATGAACATTGCTGGCTACTGTCCATTCCAAATTGCTTTCGAAAACATGTTTGTGAGCTGCAGTGTAGGGAATTCCAGAATTTTGGCCCAACAACCACATGATTGCAGGTGTTCAGGAAGGTTGCTTGCCACCACTTTCTCAAGCAATTAAGGAAGGGCAATAAATGCAGACGTTGCTAATGGCATCCATGTCTCATTAATGAATCAATGGAGAGGGAGTGGCATGAAAGTCAGGTAAAGATATATCAAATTAAAAATATGTGACTAGTTTTTTAAATATCAAACCATTGCACAGAAGACTTGATCATTTTTCAGCTAGGTAATTATTGCCAATCAGTAACTAGGAATATTTTGTTGCATATTTTCAGTATTTTTTGTTCTTATTTAATTTTTTAGCATTCACGGTGTTTGCATAAATTGTACTTCGAGCAGACTGATTGAAACTAGTAGATCATAAAATAATTCAAATGAAGTCCTTGGTGGTTCTTAGTTTATCACTCATGAAAAGCCTACTACCCCCTCCACCGAATTCTGAACTAGCTTCAGGAGTTTCACCTGTACCTCTCTTGTTGGAAGTTACAAAGATATGTTGTGTTCCCCAGAGTATTGATGATTTAAATGTAATCTGATTAATGCATTTAAGATGATTATAGATTTTATTGAATAGATAAAAGTTTTTTTTCCAGAGTCAGTAAAGTCCAGAACAAGTTGGGTACAACATTTATATAAGTGCTAGATAGTTTTAGGGGTGATCAACATATTTCTTCATACAAATGGTTGTAGGAATTTGCCCAAAAAGCAGTTGTAGCTAGGTCCATTGAAAAGTTTAAAAATATAGCTGATGTCTTTTTTGTTAAGCAAAGCTCTTTCTAGGATATGAAACCAAGGTGGTAAATGGTTTTCACGTTTATTGATCTAACCGAATGTTGGAACAGGCATGAGGAGCTAAATAGCCTAGCCCGGTTTCTTCATTGCATATCTTTGCCACTCATTGTAAATAATGTCATCAGAGTTTAGACATGAACAATTGCATCGTATTAGATGTGGCCTTTGAATCTTTAATCAAAACCCTTGCATACAAGCTTCTCTATGTCTAACTAAAAGATGCAATCCAGCTGTTTAGAATTGTAAAGTAATTATTTTGCGCAAAAAGTTAGAAATTTCCTTTTCTATACATGATCTTTTAATATAGTGCTTTTACATGGCTGCAATTCTAAAATTTCTTTATGATCAACAAGAATGCTTGGGGGCTAGTCAATCAAAGCAGCCAAGAATGCAAAAATAGGTGACTTTTTAAAAAAAAAAGTTGATGTATTGTTGGCACAATACGTGGCCATTATGCAGTTGTTCTGTTGGAATACTTAAAGATTTTGCCCTAAAATTGTTTGCAAATTTTAAAGTATAAAGAACTGTATGAGTTCATTAAACATTGAGTGATTCAGAAAGATTGAAATTTTCTAGCTGTAAAAAAGACTAACTGCATCCCAATCTGGTGAAGAAAAAAGTAGTTTTGTTACTTATTATGCTGGAATAAAGTGAGTAGATTCCTTGTGTGATAAATTATTATTTTGTTCCAGGTTTGAAGATGGCACCATTTCTTTCCTCGATATAATAGCAGTAAATCATGGATTTGATGCACTGGATAAGTTTACAGGTCAGTTGCAAAGAATAATGTTAAGTCTAAGTATAATGTTAAATCTATTTAAGCTTTATAAAAATTCCGTGAAAATGGGTCATAATATTCCAAACCATTGCGAAGGTGAATTTTTCTATTGAGTAAACTAGTGACAGAGATTGCATGAGTGTTGAAATCCTAACAGTGCCATGTGTGAACCTATATCACATGGATTGCACAGTTCAGAAAGTGGCTTATGAACACCTTCTCAAGGGCAATTAGGGATGGACTTGCCAACAATGTACATATTCCACGAGTGAATAAAGTAAAGTCCTGTATTTATTTCTCAGTGCATCATTGAAAACAATGGGTGTCTGGAAGTAAGTGGCATATGACAGGTCTGAGCCAGGCATGGACAGTAATGAATACTGAGGAGTCTGTTAGTAAGTCTGAGGGCAGATCTTGACTTTGTGCAATACTGTAAAACAAGTGACAGTGAATGGGAAGCCTATTTCTCATTGTGCCTAAATTTTATTTTTATTAATAATTGATGGTTCTGTGGCTTTCTTCTCTGTTGTGATCGTCTACACCTGTAAGCAAGAGGGCTGTTTATTATTGTGCTTGACTGATGTGCCTGATATGCAAATATATTCACTCACCTTGTTCACTTCAGTGAGGCCATGGAAATGTTTTCAGTTCGTTACTGTATCCTTCGGACAAGGCTGCAAGGGGAACTTTGTCGAACGCCTTAGTGAAGTCCATGTAGATCCATGTCCGCTCCTCTGCCCTCGTCAACCCTCTTTGTTACTACTTCAGAAAACTCAATCAAGTTTGTGAGACACAATTTCCCACGCATGAAGCCATGTTGACTATCCCTGATCAATCCTTGCCTTTCTAAATACATGTAAATCCTGTCCCTCAGGATTCACTCTAACAACTTGCCCACCACCGATGTCAGGCTCACCGGTCTATAGTTCCCTGGCTTTTCCTCACCACCTTTCTTAACTAGTGGCAACACGTTAGCCAACCTCCTGTCTTCCGGCACCTCGTCTGTGGCTATCAATGATACAAATATTTCAGCAATAGGCCCAGCAATCACTTCCCTCGCTTCCCACAGAGTTCCAGGATACACCTGATCAGGTCCCAGGGATTTATCCACCTTTATGCCTTTTAAAGACACCCAGCACCTCCTTCTCTGTAATATGGACATTTTCCAAGATGGCACTATTTATTTCCCCAAGTTCTCTATCTTCTATATCCTTCTCCACAGTAAACACTGATGCAAAATACTCGTTTAGTATCTCCCCCATCTCCTGCTGTTCCGCACATAGGTGGCCTTGCTGATCTTTAAGGGGCCCTATTCTTTCCCTAGTTACTCTTTTGTCCTTAATGTATTTGTTAGAATCCCTTTGGATTCTCCTTAACCCAATTTGCCAAAGCTAACTCATGTCCCATTTTTGCCCTCCTGATTTCCCTCTTAATATATTCCTACTGCTTTCATACTCTTCTAGGGAATCACTCGATTTCTGCTGTCTATACCTGACATGTGCTTCCTTCTTTTTCTTGACCAAAACCTTAATTTCTCTAGTCATCCAGCATTCCCTACACCTACCAGCCTTGCCCTTCACCCTAACTGGAATATACTGTTTCTGGACTCCTGTTATCTCATTTTTGAAGCCTTCCCATTTTCCAGCTGTTAGCTCATTACCAGAATCTATGGAATTTTGGAAAACTGCAACCAGTGCATCTCCTGCCTCAGCAGTCACTTCTTTTAAAGTCTAGGTTACAAGCAACCTGGCAAACTTTACCTGCAAACATCCGCCCCCAATCATTTGAAAGTTCTTGTCTAATGCTGAAAAAAATTGGCCTTCCTCCAATTTAGAAATTTAACTTTTAGATCTGGTCTATCCTTTGCCATGACTATTTTCAAACTAATATAATCATATTTTCATATAGCTTGATTTTATGTTATTATTTATACTTATTTAATAACAAAACCTATATCAATAAGACTAGTGGTAGGAAGAAGATTAATCAGAATTTAGAACTAGCAAATAGTGACAAAAGAAGTGAGAATAGAGTGAGTGAGAGCTATCCAGAAATATAAAAACAGATAGTAAGAGGTCTACAACTATTTAAAAAGCAAAATAATAACTAAAGGGAGTTTTGGCCCTTTAGGGAGTGAGTCTGAGGTTTTTTTTAAATTCACTGTGGGACGTATGTATTGCTCACTGGCCAGCATTTATTACCATTCCTCGTCGCCCTTAAGAAGGTGGTGTTGCGTTGCCTTCTTGAACCACTGAAGTCCACATGCTGTAGGTTTACCCACACTGTCCTTCGGGAGGAATTCCAGGATTTGACCCAGTGACAGTGAAGGAACGGAGGTATATTTCCAAGTCAAGATGGTGGGTGGCTTGGAGGGGAAATTGCAGGTGGTGGTGTATCCAGGCATCTGCTGCCCTTGTCCTTCTAGAAGGAAGCGATTGTGAGTTTGGAAGGTGCTATGTAAGAAACCTTGGAGTGCAGCATGTAGGTGGGACATGCTGCTGTGACTGATTGTCAGTGGAAGGAGAGGATGCTTGAGGATACGGTGCCAATCAAGTGAGTTACTTTGTCCTGGATGGTGTCAAACTTCTTGATTGTTGTTGGAGCAGCACTCATCCAGGAATTGGGGAGCATTCCAGCACACCCTGACTTGTGCCCTGTAGATGGGGAACTGGCTTTAGGGAGTTAGGACATGAGTTACTTGCTGAAGTATTCCCAGCTTCTGACCTGCTCTGTAGCTACAGGATTTATATGGCGAGTCCAGTTGAGTTTCTTGTCAATGGTAACCCCAAAGGTGTTGATTGCGGGGCATTCAGTGATTGAAACACCATTGAATGTAAAGGGACTGTGGTTAGATTATCTGTTATTGGAGATGGTCATTGCTGGTCATTGCCTGGCATTTGTGTGACATGAATGTTACTTGCCATTTGTCAACCCAAACCCGGATATTGTCCAGATGTTTTTGCATTTGTACATGGACTGCTTCAGTATCTGAGGAATCACAAATGGTGTTGAAAATTATGCAATAATTGGCAATCATCCCCACTTTTGACCTTATGATGGAGGGAAGGCCATTGATGAAGCAGCATTAATAATGGGAAATATGGCAATAGTGGAAGCATTAAAAAGATATTCTGTGTCAGTCCTCACTGTAGATGGACATAGCTAGCATCCCAAAAATACTTAGCATTCAAGAGATAAAATACAAGAGATAAATTAATATAAGTACTATTACCAGGGAAAAGGGACTGAGAAACATGTATAACTGAAGGCTTACAAATTTCCAGGACCTGATGACTTGCAACCTAGACTTTAAAAGAAGTGACTGCTGAGGCAGGAGATGCACTGATTGCAGTTTTCCAAAATTCCATAGATTCTGATAATGACCCAACAGAATGGAAAATAGCAAATGTTGTTCAAGAAATGAGGGCGATAAATAGAGGAAACTATGGGCCGATTAACTCAAAATCTGTTAAAAGAAATATGGTAGAAATTATTATTAAGGAGGTTATAACCAGGCACTTTGAAAATCTTAAAGTAATTGGGCAGAGTCACCTTGGTTTTATGAAAAGGAAATCATACTTGTCTAGTTTATTAAGAGATCGTTTCAGAAACAGAACGTGTAATGGGGAAGTGGTAGGTATGGTGTACTTGGATCTCTGAAAGTCTTTGATAAGGTACCACATCAAAGTTTACTGTACAAAATAGGAACTCCCAGGGTAGGGGTGACCAATTAGCATGGATAGAGGATTACTTGTTTAAGAGGAGGCAGAAAGTAGAAATAAATGGGCCATTTTCAGGTTGGCAAGCAGTCACTAATACAGTATGACAAACAGCAGTGTTGGGGCCTCAAACTTTTACAAACATTACCAATGATTGGATGACGAGGCCGAATGTAGGATTATATAATTTACCAATGACATAAAGCTAGAGAAGAGAGTAAGTTGTGAAGAGGACATTAAGGATTTGCAAAGGGTCACAAATAGATAAAGAGAGTGGGCAAAGATTTGGCAGATGGTTTGTAAGGCAGGAAATTGTAAATTTGCCCACTTTGGCAAGAAGAATATAAAAGCAATATATTATTTAAATGAAGAGATGTTACAGAACACTGTAGTACAGAAGTATCTGGGTATCCTGGTACATGAATCACAAAAAGCTTGAATTCAGAAACAGCAAGAGATTAGGAAGGCAAAATGAATGTGTTTGCTTATTGCAAGGGAATAGAGTATAAAAGTAGGAAGTTTTGTGATATTCTCTGAGACCACATCTGGTATATGTGCTGTTTTAGTTTCCTCATTTCAGAAAGGTATCATTGCATTCAAAGCAATTCAGAGACGTTTCAGTCAAGTAATTCCAATGATGAAGGGTTTATTTTGTGGGGAAAGATTCAGCAAGTTGGGCCAGTATTCATGAGATTTTAGAAGAATGAGAAGTGCTCTTATTGGAACATGCAACATCCTGAGGGATCTTGACAGGTTTGATGCTGAGAGGATGTTCTCCATTGTGGGCGAGAACAAAACTAGGAAACACAGTTTAAAAATTAGGGATCTTCCATTTAAGACTTAGATGAGGAGTTCTTTTTCACAATGGCTCATTAATCTGTGGAATTCTATTCCCCAGAGAGGAATGGAGGCTGGTCATGATTATTTTTAGGAATGAGTTAGATAGTTTCATGATTGATGAGGAAGTCAAAGGGTACTGGGGATAGATATCAAAGTAGAGTTGAGGCCACAATCAGATCAGCCATGATATTATTGAAAGGTGCAGTAGGCTCAAGGGGCCACATCATCTATTGTTCTTAATTCATATCTATGTTCATTTATTTATGTATGTATGTATGTAATTTATTCGCAGTACAGGTTGAGGTGCTGGGAAATAATGCTGCCAAGCAATTAATGGCAGGATGTGAAATGACATTAGACCATTTAATGGAGAAAGTTTCATTATAAAAGTGGAAATTATAGTGAAAACATTGGTACAAAAAATTGACAGAA